CCCTAAACCCTAAACCCTAAGATTACCGTCATCCTAAACCCTAAGCCGTAAGATTATGGTCATCCTAAACCCTAAGCCGTGAGATTATGGTGCGGTGTTCATGACTTTTTGGACGCCTGCCCCTGGAGCCTTCTAGAAGGTCTAGAAGCCTCATAGACGCCCTATATACATACCCTAAGCTCCCCACCTGTAATTTCCTTAAACCCTAAACCCTAAACCCTTTATACCCTAAACTCCCCAACCCTAAACCCTACAAACCCTAAGCTCCCCAACCCCAAACCCTACAAACCCTAAGCTCCCCAACCCTAAACCTTACAAACCCTAAGCTCCCCAACCCTAAGTTTAAGCCCTACAAACCCCAAGCTCCCCACTCGTAGTTTCCTCAAGCCCTAAACCCTAAACCTGAAATCCTAAGCCCTAAACCCTAAACTCCTAAAGCCCTACAAACCCCAAGCTCCCCACCCGTAGTTTCCTTCGCCCTAAACCCTAAACCCTATATACCTTATGGAAGCCTTATAGAAGCCCTATAAATCCTAAACCCTACCCTCTAAACTCCTAAAGCCCTATGTACCCTAAGCTCCCCACCCGCAGTTTCCTTAGCCCTAAACCCTAAACCCTATATACCTTATGGAAGCCTTATAGAAGCCCTATATATGGGTGGTTGTCAAAATTATGGTCCCTTTTTGGGTCCTTATTATAATACAGCACCTATTATTTAGGGTACCCCAAAAGGGACCATAATTTTGACAACTACCCATATATGTAGTTTCCTTTTGCCCAAGAGGCTCGCTCCCGAAGCGCCTTCGGCTCTTCGAAGCTTTCCTTGCCGAGGGCTCCAGGTGACGCCGCTGCAAAGAATGATTCGGGGGGTTTAGGGTTTAGGTTTGGGGGTTTAGGGTTTAGGGGTTTAGGGGTTTAGGGTTTAGGGGCTTCGGGGGTTTACGGTTTAATATAGCAGCCTAGTTAATTAGCAATGGTAATTTGGGGGCTCCTTATTATACTTATTGTATACTATACCCCAAAGAATGATTCGGGGGTGTAGGGTTCAGGTTTTTGAGTTTAGGGCCCCTAAACCCTAAACCCTAATCCTAAACCCTACACCCCGGAATGATTAAAAACCCTGGGGTTTCGGTGGTTTAGGGTTTAATATAGAAGCCTAAATAATTACCAACGGAAACTTGGGGGCTTCTTATTATACTTGTTGTCTACTATACCCCCCAAAGGCCTATTCCACTTATCAAGGCCACTAAACCCTATAGTAGACCCCCAAGACCCCACTTATAATTACCCATGAACCCTAAACCCTAGACCCTA